AACAATGGCGGGATGCATCATATCTGGATCCATGTCATTGGCTACAAGACTATGTCATTGGCTTGGATTTTGGTTTGCTGGTGGACCGCCTTTTTCCTCGGTGTGCGTGACTTTAGATTGGTTGTTTGCAGGGGCTTCGGAGGACCTAATTATAATAATTTTTATGTGGGTTTTTTGGCAAGATTCCCTAAACACCTGCCATGTCCCGGTCTTTTGGTAGTTTCGGCATGTATGTGTGTAGTTGTACTCTATTTAATTTATTAATGTAATGTGTGAGGTTTTTTTTAAATATACGTAATGCATATTTGAGAACATATCTACATAGCCAGTGAACATATGCATCCAAACTAAAATGAAAACGAAAACAAAAAATATCTAGATATATTTAACAAATACAAATATACGTGTGGTATGAGATTTTGAACCAAAAGTTGTGATTTATACGGATGAATTTGTCATAGCCTTCAGATTCTGTGTGTGTGTGTGTGTGTGCATGTACTCCTAGTTGTATATCCAAAGCATGACAGTGTAATGATATTCAAAGTAATAGATAGAAAACAATCGGTTTTTAGATTATGCAATAATTTACTTGACTTTTTAAAATTGGATTTCACAGATGAAAAATGCTTCGAACATGACAATATTTTATAGGATAAAAATAGGTGATTTAGAGGAGAATACCTCAAGCAACACAGGCTTGAAAAAAGATGGAATTGAGATGTTTGTGGTTGGGAAAAGAGAAAACACCCATGTTTGTTGTTCGGAGAAGAGAAAACATCCATGTTCGTTGTTGGCTTGGGGAGGCGGCCGGCTGGGTGTTGTGAGAGGATCTGCAGCCGGGCCTTCTATTTTCTCTCTAAACGTCCGCTACATTCGCTCGGTCAGTGTCCGTTCACGAAAAGTTGACCCAATCAAACCCCTCACTTAGTCTCTATACGTCCGGACTGACCGGCACCCCTGAAATCGGTACCAAAGGTAGGGATGATATGAAGGTGCCCGGACGCTACCGGGCACCCCGCTCCAGGTCATAGCGGTCCCACCTGCATCCATCCGAAAATCTTCCTCTCTCATCTCTGCACCCAAATTTGTAGTCCCACCTCAGCGCGCAAGGCGGACGCTGACCGACTTAAATAGCCGCGTCGGTGGATGACAGCAAGCTTCTCTGTTGTTGCATAGGTCGATCAATTATCATCGTGTGAACGAGATAGCTTGACACTAGATTGCATTTCATCAACTGATGATTGTTCAGCGAGTGTCAAGTTCGTCTTGCTCATATACGTTCGTGTAGCCCTACCACGATGAAAGAACTTTTAATTTTGTTCATCGAATTTTTTCGACACATTGCGATTCAAAAAGAGCCATGCAAACATCAATGTTTTGTTTGTGAAGGAGATAGACCATGACTATAAATCTTTTCTGTGATAAGCATAGAAGATTCATAGTGATAGACTATCTCCTTAACAAAGGGTGCGATGATGACTGTAGCTTGTCGCTTTTGGATGACCCGGCTATTTAAGCCGGTCGACTAGCTCCTCACGCGGCGAGGTTGGACTAAACACCCGAAACCCACTGGCTCAATACGGATATAAAAATCTTAAGTATGAGCAATTTTTGGTGTTTTTTTACAGCCCCGTCGGGCCAATACGGACGTGATGATCGAAGTGCATGTGCTTACATGTATTAGCTGTTTTCAAAATAGGATTTATGGTTGCAAATAGTAAAATTTGAGGTTTGTCCGGTCACTTTCCATGGGCGGACACATATTTAGGTTGCGGCTGTGATACTTAAAAATGAACAAAGATCATGCCCAAATTTAGTTTTGAATCCAACTTTAGCTAGGTTGAAAATAAAGTTTCAAATTTATCTCAACTCTTGGTTGCATGAATGCAATGCACAAGCCAAAAAAAATCCCCTGCTCTCTGTAAATTACGGGTCATTACATGTACTCACTAGTGTGTGGTAGCCAATTAATTAATTCTATTATATAGCTGGGGTTTTCTCTTTTTGCTTGCAACCTGGTTTTTGTTTTCTCTGATTTTTTATAGGGCCATGGGAAGTTATGTGACAGCCTGACAGGTGGCTTGGCATGCAAACATGCTGACTTAGCGATGTCTCTCAGTTCGTTCCTCTAGATCTCAGTCGATTAAGACTTAACTAAGTCAAATTAAGTGATATACTAGTACTATATAAGAAGAAAAAGGGGAAGTAAAAAGAAAAAAAAATTGTAAGAATCTTCATGCAAGATGAAAGAAATATATCATCTGACATAACGAAGTCTCTAGCAAAGCTGCAAAACTGCTACTAGCATATTTACAACTTTCCCTTATTTGGACAGTACCAGAGCATCTCCAATAAACGGTTCATATATAAAAATAACTAACTTTTGTAGCTTCCGGAGCAAAAAACGTTCCTGCAACAAATGGTCCAAATGTAAAAAGAAATACATCACCGCCTTCCGAAGATGTAAAATACAACAGTTCATGATGCAAATTTGCATCACGAGATACATCTGATGTAAAACTGCAGCCGTTCGCGAAACCACCAACCACCCGTTCATTTCATTTCCTCGCCCG